TGGCGTGCACAAAGAGGCGAGTGCGTCTTTAAAATGGAACACAGCTCCTCCTCGCTCCGTCCCTGCTTCAGCTGTACAAAGCTCCCGCGAGGGAACAAACAAAGGAGCGGACAGCGCCGTCAGAAGGCAGCCGGGCCCGGGTTACAACACAGTGAGACTCCGCTCCCTCAGATGAATCGGATAAATCACTAATCACCTCCAATCTCCACGGCGTCTCCTCATGACAGTTATCATCTTCTCACTGACCTCGTCTGCTGCTGTAACATTGACATTTTCACTATTGTCTGTTATATTTACAGACACGACTGCTCACTGAACTCCATCACCATGCTGAAATCTAAGATACTTCAATTTTGGCGGACCAGTTGCAGAAATGAACCCATCTCAGATAATGTGTATATTTTAAAATGTCTGTTTACTGCACCAGCATAAATAGGCCATGGTCTATAATTAGCACTTAACAAGGATGTCCAAGCTTCTTCGCTGCTAATGTTCCCTTTAAGGGGTCAACTCCTGAATATTTGTGTTTTTGATTAGTCTGTTTGTGTATTTGTTTATTTCATAGTTGTTTAACCACTAAGGAATTCTTTTTAAAAAGAATTCACCAGGGAGACGTCCCCAAATTGCTTATTTTGCCAGATCAACAGACTCAGACACAAAAACATTATGATTTAAATAACTGAGATTCTGTCAATCACTCTAATAATTAATATACATTTTCAGTTTAACTGTCTGAACAGACTTTTGGAATCAACTTTAGAGATTAAAAATTTTCCCCCCACGCACCCAATGATGTCTTCCATATGCCAAGATTCAATAATCAAAATTATTTCACCTCCACAAATGTTGAACATTTGCATCAGAGCGATGTACGCAGACTGCACTCAGGCCAGATTCCACAACGGCCGTTTTCAGAAAGGATTTCTGGAAAATGTGAGGAAAATTGGGTGCTGACATTTTCTGGAGTTTGGAGGCAGGACATGACGCATTAACTCTGCTGTGGAAACCTCAGTGTTTTTGTTTACAGCACATCCACACCGGCGTCCGGCCTCGTCAATAAAAGCTCTCGAATCTCGTTTCGACATCCCCGTCTGCCTCTTCCACTTGTTACGGCTCCTCTTTTTCATCCAGAGATATTTGTATTCTTCCAGTTTCACATCTGTCACATGTTAGAAAACCTCTTCAACACGTCCACTTGCTTTCTGTGAAGTTTCCAGATTTTCCTGTTTTTTTCCCCCACATGGTCTCACTCTCACAATTTACAAACGTTTTCCTTTGGGGCAGCAGAAAAAAGTTCAAGAGAATGTCTGGAGCAATTGACTGGGACATTTGCATCCTTCCATACATGCTGTTTGTCGCTTCATATTATGCTCTGTTTATTTCATGCAATGACAGGATGGTGCCTACGAGAGAGAGAGAGCACGAGGCTGCCATCATTTCCATTGTTGGAAAAAACTTTTTGTTTCATGTGTTGTCATGAATTGAAATATTCTTTAAACTTTTACTACATCCATACACCCTTTCTTCAACTATAAAGAATTTCAAACGTTTGTTTTAAAAAGTGTCATACAGTTGACTTCGGCTTCGTTTGATAAGAACATGTCAGTCAAAACAATGAGTAAAGAGGTTTTACACAAACTAGGGCAACTGTTCAATTTTCTGGTTGGTTTAACATAACACTTTAATTCAATACTAAAACATCAATACAGGCATGACTTGCATTTGTAAAGATCTGGAGCGACAAAATGAGTTTGTGTTTGACAGCCTCAGATCATTCCAGTCCAGATCAACTAAATACACTATGGCTCTGCTGAAAGGCGTTTTCTTAGCATCTCAAGTAGATTTATGAACATAACATGTGACAACAAAGTGCCTGGTGTATTTTAAACTACATTGCTTTGGCCTTATACCTTCACTTTGATAGATACAGTGAAGGAGAGACAGGAAATGGGGTGAGAGACATGCAGTAAATGGTCCTAACAGCCAGGAATCTAACCGGGGGCCTGCTGCTCCAGAAGTATGCCCCCATGTGGTGCGTGTCCTCACTATTCGGCTATCAGATCGCCCTACTACAGACTATTTTAAGCTGATTTTGAGTAGGCGGTACGAGTCCTCTGGAGAAGTGACTACTCAAGTAGTCATCGCACCAACCAAAGAAAATTGTTTTAGCGTGGTGTTGGTATGCTACTCTCTCCCCCGATGTAAAGAACAGGACATTAAGGAAAACATTTGTTAATATGGAAAGTTTAAGTGCCAGTGTTAGTTTCTAAAGTTGGAGATGGATTAATTCCTGTTCAATGAAACTGAGACACAGTTACAGCTTCTTTTTCTTCTCTTACACGTCAAAAACATACAACTCTGCTTTAAGAATAATTGACTTATCACTGTGCAGGAAGAGCATGTTCTGTAACTAGAAGGTTATTAAGTCAGCAGATGAAAGAAAAATCTAGTAGTTTTCTATAACCTAAAGTAAGTTACTGTTAATACATATTTAGTACATTGATTTCATAGTTTACAATTTGTTTTGTTTTAAAATAATGTGTAAAATGCAACAGAGCCTTTTGGTGTCCTATTAACGCATGATTGTTGGACACTATGTGCATGAGTTAAAATCAATGAGAGACTGGGGACTATTAGATGAGTTTGTAGAAGTGTAGGATTAATTAATAATTCATGAGTTTACACATTTCAGTTATGGGCCAAATGTGCATTATTACACATATATAAACTATTTATAAAAACATAAACCTATGTCCCTTTTCAAAGATCACAATGATTCTAGTAGAAATGCACAGTTTGAGGTATTGTCCAATATGCACAGAAATGACCTAATATTGAGAACAAATACAAAGTTATATAAGCAAACAAGACATAAACTGTGTAAAGGTGTGCAGTAAAAGAACCAACACATGTTCAGTGCCAGCTCTGGTGTTTAACTCAGTATCTGATCCCATTGTTTTCTCTACAAACAGCAGCTGAACACATCTGCCGTCATGTATTTATCTGACATCAGTAGGAGAGCAGATTATTCTTTTGCTTGTTTTTTAATGAACGTATTAACGTAGAACTAAGTTTGCGTGCTACACCAGACACAAATGGCTCAACTCCTGCTTCAGCAGTCAGCTGTCTCAACAACTGAGGAGGGGGGGAAGGAAAGCCGCCGTCCCCGCTCCCCCCTCCTCACCCGTGCAACTTCTTTTGATGATGGAGTCAAAGTGCGGCAGCAGTTCTGCAAGCAGGCAGTAAAAAGTATATCACGGCGGTTGAACAAGAAGACAGACAGACCCATTCAGATTACTCTTCGAACAGTCTAGACTGTTTGTCTATTGGTTGAAGGAGGACACACCAACAAAAGGTGAGCATGGAAACAACACAACAAGACCAAGGCAGAGCGAGGGGCTTTATCACAGGGAAACGTTTAACCGCTGGGCCACCGTGACGCCGGGTGCTGAAACTGCTGCAGCAGTGTCAAACCAGAAACCACCCCGACAGTTTTGAGAATGGAACCAGCAACCTTTCAGCTCATCACAGCAAGGAAATCAAAACCATCCACATTCCCAACCGATGCAGAGTTGACACCAAACACGGAAAATGTGATGAAGAATCTGCGGACGCTGTTTTGGCGTCCTTGACTGAGTTTTGCTTTAACGCTGGACTCTCATAGGTGTTGACGCCTTATGGTGGGGATAACTAACTCTTTGTGCCGGCACAGTCGTCATACGGACAACAATAACAGTTTCATGCTTGGGAAGCCAAACATACCTACCTGACATGCTAGCCCACAATGCAATGCTTAAGACATGGACACAAAAAACAGGTTGATTGATGGAGTTTTGCAGTTGTTGTAAGCGTGTCCATGGTAACAACAGCTCCACCAATCAGACGCTATTACACCTGAGGAATGTGGGGGGGGGGGGGCAATCCTCGACCTTGTGAATACTACAAGTTTTACCTCAAGCAGAGTTGATATCAAAAAGACTTGTGTCTTCTGCAGAGACGATCACATTGTTTCACAGTCTCTTGGCGTGTGGCAAGTTGTACTTCGCCGATTACGATAATACGACTAACGATCAGAAACTGAACTTTTACTTCTAGAACCACGCTGTCGTTGTTTTTACAGTTCGTCATGAAGCCTTCGACATTTTATAAGAGGCACTTTGAATGGCACTTGTTTGTGACACAATTGCATTGAAACTTAAAAGATAACGCGACAAGTATCGTGATAATTATCAATTATCGACTGGTATGAAGATGTTTATCTCGATATTGATTTTATCTTGATGTGACTGATATAAATTTGCCAACATGACCCGGTCCAGAGATCAAATTCAGCCATGGAGGCACACACACACTAAAAAAAAAAAAAAGACATAAACCTTTATTTACTTTAGCACATTCCTGTTTAGTAGAATTAGCATGCAGTCAGAGCTCTGTGATTTGGGTTAGCTTCCTGCAGCCTTTGTCTGATGCCCAGGGGTGTCACACCTGGCCCGGTGAAAGTCACTGGATGCACGGACAAACACACCCCGGCTTCACGGTGCACAACATCCCCGCACAGACACGCACACTCACCCGGGAGAGAGAGACAGAGACACACACCTGGCTGCCACAGCTACTAATGTTTCCAGGGGGGGTTGGTGGTGGTGGTGGTGGGCTAACAGGCTAACGACCTAGCTTACACGTCTGTGGGGTTTTGGCTAGCAGACGCAGGGGCTAACGCGCAGCTAGCTTAGCCATTGGACTCCCACAAGTTTATCCCGGGTAAAGAGAAGTTCCGAGCTAAAGGGCGACTTGTGGTGGACGGACACAACCGACGGAGACACCGTGTCCCGTTTCGCGTTAGCAGCCGCGGCTACACAGCTAGCCTCCTCCGCTAGCTCTGTCATGTCCCCGCATCGCTGGTGTAAATACATGCGAGCCGCCGCGGCTCCTTTACACGTGTGGACCGCGGCTAAAAAAACTCCTTCTCGGGCAAAAAGCCTCCACAGTGAACCGCTCACCTGCTCCGGACACTCGCTCGCTCTCACCGGCGAGACGTCTCCATCTCCTCCGCCCGGAAAACCAAGAAAATAAACCCCACTGGCGCTTCTTCTTCTTTTATTTCCAAGGACACAAAATCGCCATGACAGTTTAGAAAAATGCATAAAAAATTAGCAGGCAGGGGAGGGAGGGGGAGAGAGGAGAGAGGGATGAGGAGGTGAGGGAAGGAGGAGGGAGGAGGAAGAGGAGTTTGATCCACATAAAGGAGGCAGATCCGCGGGGTTCATTCACTGTGGATGCCGGACTCTCGCACACATCCCGGGGCTGCACAACCTCCACACACACACGAGCCTCCTCCACAAACTTCTTACCTAAAATGGCCACTGCAGCGGCCGCAGCGGCAGCAGCTCTGCTCGGCTCCGCTGGAAGTTTCTCATCGGCGGTGTGGCTCCGGCAGCCAGCCTAACCTCACCCTCCGGATCCGGGAGCTGCTCCGCGTTTTTCCATTGGCTGCAGCCGGGCGCAGCTGGCCCCGTGCACGCTGCCATTGGCCCCGCAGCTGTCACGCAAAGGAGGCGAGCGGGTCTCCGGCTGCCTCTGCCGGGTTAGTCTGAGAGCTACCGCGGCAGCCCCGGGCAACACCATTGTGTATTGTGTGATTGTGTGTTTTTTAAAGACCCCCTCCCCACCACCACCACCACCACCACTTTCCTGGGTTGCTCGCATGGATGTGAGACTCGTGCACACTCATGCACGCGTGCTGTTTATTCTAGGAGCTGTTGTTGTTGTTGTTGTTGTCCTTACCGCAGACTTGCAGGGGGATCCTCGGGGGAAGCTGCCCGGCTCCGGTTCCTCCTGCTCCGGTTGCTCCGGTTCCTCCTGCTCCGGTCATTGAAAGAAGGAGAAAAACAACAAGAGGGGATGGACACGCACAACCAGGGGGTTTACACTTCTCCTCCGCTGCCTGCATCCACCAATCATGTCGCTTTTTTTCTCCTCCATCATTACCGGTTGTGAAGGACAAAAAAAAAAAAAGACAGGAGACATTCCACGTCCCTTTGCAGATCAGGTTGCGTCTCCCGGATGTTCCGTTTGTTTGCACGACTTGGTTTTGTTAGTGTTTGGAGCTGAGAGGATGGAACTCACCTCCTCTCCTAACTTCACCCCAAGTCTTTAACCTGCAGCTGCTGAAATCAAACTGAATCACAATGACTGTCCTTTAATGCAACACTTGAGTGCTGGTTTTAAAATACAGATATTATATAAGACAATCTCCATTCATGTTTGCAGGACTTGAGGTGGGTTGTGTTTGTGTTTGGAGCCGAGAGGATGGGACTCACCTCCTCTCCGAACTTCACCTGAAGTCTTCCACCCTCCTGTCACTGTCCTGAGTTTCAACTATTGAACCACAACTCTCGTTTATCTTGTTATATACTTTTAGTGTTTTATAATTTTTACGACAGGTGCGATATTCAACTCACCTTTATTCTGTATTATTATTCGGGGTCTTACGTGATATGTCCTTGTGAAGTGTTTGTTGTTGTACTGCGTACTGTTCTGCAGGTGCCATCGTACTTTGACCCAAGACAAATTTTCCTACGGGACAATAAAGTAAATTTGATTTGATACTGCACACTCAAATCAAACTTTGCAGTCAACTCATGACTAACATCCCTCTAACATCTGGTTTCCTGCCTGTTTGCACTTGAAAAATGTAAAACAACTAATACACACATGGTGCGATAACTACACACACAGTCCATAAAGTTAAAGCAACTTTGAATGTATATAGTTTGTACTGGATTGGACTTTTTTTACGGTAAGCTGAGCGGTTTCTTTTTGTCCTGTACTGTTGACCCTGTGTTAACTGCATTTGACAAATAAAACTTGAAACTTTGAAATAAATTACATGACTGTTACATGACTGTTCTTTAATGAAACACATTTTTGTAATGAAATGCATATAAGAGACTTCGCCATTCATGTGTTGAACATGGTTTATGACGCCACCTAGTGTTTCAAACCATCTTGGACAGTGCAGGGCCAATGCTCGCGTAGGCTACGTCCACACTAACATGTTTTCGTTTTGAAACGATCTCCATCCACACCCTAGCTCAGCATCAGAAATAAAAACTTGTGCATCCTAACACACCCTGTATCATGTGACCTTTCACACACACTAGGCATGTGTGTGCAGGTGTAAACAGGAAGCAGATTGTCGACTCTGCAGTTGGTTGTGTTTACAGAAAATACGACAAACGAGGAACAGCGATGGTGAAAAGTAAGAGCAGGAATTTCTTTCCTTGGAGCGACGGTGAGGTGGAACTGTCACTGACAGTAAGTGTTAGCATCGCTTTGGATTCACAATGGTCGCCAAGTCATGTGACTTATAAGAACCAATCAGGAAGAGAATACTGGTGACTGTCATCTTTTCCAAATTTCTCAGTTTTTGCACATCCAGATATAAAATGCAACCCCAGAGTTTTCAAACTAAAATGCGTGGTGTGGACAGCAGGTTTAAACACAGAGATGTGTTTCAAAAATAAAATGCAGTGGAGTGTATGTAGCTGTGAAGTTTGAGACGTCTCTACGTCCTGACATTTATATATATATGTGGAAAAGTTAACACCCTCTAATCAAAGCTTGGTGAAGACAACCTAGATAACATGGCTTCAAACAACTGATGTGAAATACATGTAAAGTAGTAAAAGTATGAAGACGCATGAGCTGGAAATAATTCAGATCATTACCTTCCATTAGAGTTCTCACATCTTAGCTCTGAAGAACTTAAATCCTGTTACGGTCGTTATTAGAAGCTGAAACTCTGAGCTGTTGTAACGTGGGTGTGAACACCTTTCACACAATGCATGCTGGTACATAAAACCAGTGTCACACCTACATGAAGAATTTAAACACACATGCATGGACTTTTCGAATATTATCTGAATGTAACTGTTGTTTAAATGCAAAATCAAGGTCATTTAATTGAAATGTAGAAGTTAAACCTCACAACACGATTAGCTTTAGATGTGCACGTTTACATTTGAGACACAAAGCTGATGAGTCATATTCAGAGTGATGATAAGGCAGTGACGAGCTCCGAGTGAAACACGATGTGAAACATGACGCCATGTTTGTAAGACAAACTGCAGCAACAGGAATCAAATGCGTGACCTTTCAAACCAAAAGGCTGCCGTCATTAGATTGCATTTGTTTCTGCCGAGGTTATAGAGCGCTGATACGGAAGAAGAGACTGCAAGGTTTTTCATTTTTAATGGAAATTTAATATCACTATATTGGAAAAATGGGGATCTCAGGTTTGAAAGTACCCACGAATAGAATCTCTGTGGTTTATCTGAAATTGTATAATAATTCCAGTGATGACATTTGAGTTAGCACTGAAACGCTTACACATTTAATTTACCAGGGCAAAGCTATGAAAGAGCATAAACAAGACGGAGTGAGCCTGGCGGTACTGGGTCTTATATTTCCTGCAAATGCAACATCAGTTTGCTCATATGAGATTGGATAAATACACATTTATTACAGAGAAAAAATTTAAACCAGTTCACTAACTTCTAAACTAAATCCTCTTCTTTCTTTTATTTCCGTGCTGTTGAGCAACACACATCCTGTCACCTTGTCCAGATTTTGTACTTATGGATTTCATTTTGTCTGAATTTGTTTTGTGTGCAGAGGAAGCTGGTGCTGAAAAAGTAAATGTGTTCAGCAGATGATTTATTTGATGCGTATTTGACTCCACGAAACACAATAAGATCACGTGTGCTTTACAACTGATTTGAATGATTTCTAGTTTTATTCAGTGTTTAAAAAACATCTTCTTCCAACTGATCCTCTTTGGTAGTGATACAATACGTTTCCAATGATATTTTTATTAAAACATCATTTGATGGAATTACATTTTCTTTTGTTTGTGAAAAAGAAAAGTTTGGCAGATGTAAATCAAATAGCTAAAATATAATTTCATTTGAAGATGCTGCGTCTCCACAAATCCTCTCATCAACTTTTCTTCTTTCATGGGTGAAGTAACAAGAGGAAGCCATTCATGAAACTAACGTCGTGTCAAGGTCGGTTACTATCGGCCATGTTTAACCAGGATTATTATGATTATTTTGATAATGATTCATTTCCTCTATGTGTTTGAAAACAAAAGATTATGTTCTGATAAGAAAAATATGAGAATTGAATCATAATTTTGTTGAGATGAATAGTGAACTACTTTAATTTAGAAAACAAGTAGAGAAGTTGATCCTGTAACAAGTAAATTATCTGGTCTCTAAAATGCATCTCCAGTTATTTTCCTTTTTTCTAAAACTGGACTTCAGTTTCATGACTTTATTTTTTCCTGCAATGTTTAGTCCATATTTTCCACCTTTAACTCAAACTGTTCTCATGTAATAGAACTTTTTGTGTTGTATGCAGTCAGGAGGGGAAAACTGGAGCAGTGTTAATTTCCTTCTTATATTAAACATTTTAATAAACTCATCAAGTACATTATCACTAATAATTAAATGTGTTATATTTTTTTTAGCTGTACAGCTTTCTAACTGTTGACTGAAATTAAGCTGAAATAACTGTGATGCATCAAGTTGATGCTCCTGCAACAAAACAAACAAATCACATCCCTGACCAGCTTCAACATGGAGGTTCAACAAAGACGTTGAGAACATGTGCAGGACATCACCTCCATCACTTGATGGATGACGACTGTCAACAGCTTCCTCTGAAACACACAAACAGAAAACACACAACACAGAACATGAGTGGACGCGTATAAAGAGAATCTGATGACTTCCATTTTGTTAATTGACTCAGTGACAGCTGGAAAAACTGAGTCATGGTGCTGCGTGTGTTCTGCAGACAGATGGATGGACTGTATATGGGCTACAGAAAACTGTTGATTAGAGTAGATCCAACCACAGCTGAGCCTGCAGAAGTCCTATTACTCGCACAGTAACTACATGTGACATCAACAAACCTACTGCAAAACAGACATTCCGGAAGCACAAATCTCAAACAGAAAAGTATCACGCCCACGTCGTTTGCACAGAAATGAAGGATGAGGCTTTAAAATCACAGCTAAACGCTGCGAGGTGCAGTCACAGTGCAGCAAATGTTTCAGGCAGACGGGCATCCATGCATACATAATGAGCGTTCAGCCATTGTGGATGTTTACCTGACTCTGTCTATCCTGCACTTTCTAAATGATGCCTCTTCTGGGAGGAGGAGGGATGAGAGCAGCGCTGCATCACGCATGTAAAGAAGACAGATTTCTGTTGTGGCTAAACGTGGATGTGAATTTCAACCACCACGTCGCTGTCTTCGGGCCTTTCCTGCCGAATTTGATCACGGCAGTTTGGAAAAGCTCCACAGCCTCAGAACCATCCTCTGCTCACACTGAAAAAAAAAACACTGCAGCCCATCACTTATTTAAGATTTTAGAAAGAGCGGAACGTGCATACATGGTTTTTAACCCTGATCTGTTAAAGCACCTGTTCGACTGTTGTCTGCAACTTCTAATCGTGAGAGAGGAACAAAAGTAGTGATTTTTGCAGATGTAGTTTGGAGTTTAATGCTACAAACACGTAGTTTGAGAGTGAAAACAAGACGCAGGCTGTGTCACACCTGCACTGAACTCCGGAGACTCTCCAGACTTTCTCCAGAGGGGCTCTATTTGTGAACATAAATGTCCGAGTGATAGGCTCCGGACTTTCTGCAGAGTTTCTCCTTTCTTTTATTTAGGCCTGTTGTCTATAAACTGCTAATATTAA